TTCAGAAAGTGCAGTAGATCTCTCCACCCACCTCCTCTCTGATCGAATATTATCATTTCCATTCTGTGAAACTGGAGAAAACAACTGAGGGGATAAATGACTCACCCAGAATTAAGCAAGAGCTCAGTAAGAGAAAATGCAGATCTCTCTGCAAATTGGATCACATGGCTCCTAGGTACCTTTCAGACAGGGAGATGTTTTTGAATCCCTCTCTGCCTGGAACTTTGCTAACCAGTTTCCCAGGGCTCTGCATCACTTCTTCCCTCTTCTTAAAATTGTGCTTATGCAATTTCAGGATGCTTTTCTTGACAAGTTTTGGGGTGCACAGGATCTGTTAATACCACCCTCAGCACAGAGGCCGACTCCTCACCACAGGTATCTGTCCCTCTATGTATGACAGCATTATTGCTAGGTGACCATATTTATATCTCACCACAGGTATCTGTCCCTCTATGTGTGACAGTATTATTGCTAGGTGACCATATTTATACGTCTGACTGTATGATATGATTGATTTAAGCTGCCTGTCTGCTTTTGAAATATTTGACAACAACCTTATCACTTTTATTTAGTATCTACTTAATCAGATCTATTCAAGTTCTGTTTTTTAGACTGATTGTACATGGCTGACATCCATGAATGAGGTGGCTCATTTCTGATTAGTAAATTGTCTTTCATATACATTCCCAATGTCATGGCTCCAAGCCTTAAATTTTCAGAAAAATTACTATTTAAGTCACCTCAACTTGACCCCCTATGGCATCATGAATGGATTTTGAAAATAATGGGTTGGGTGGTTCCTAATTTCAAACATCCTTCTTCATGATAGATACAGTTTTCATACCAGTACAACCTTTTTCATTTCTTGAATTCAAGAACTTCACAAGGGAGGTCAGAATGACCATATGCCATTTTAAAGGCATGCTAGGGGTTGAGTAGTATCAACACAGCAGTTTAGCAGAGTCAGGAAGGAAGCAGAGTTTTCTTAAGATCAAGGGCAGTACCTTACCTAGAGAGGTGTTTTACTCTGCCTGCTGTTGTAGCTTTGGAGGCAGGGAGAGCTGTGCTTCCAAGTATTCTGCAAAACAAATTCCAAGATAAAAAAAATTGTATTCATTTTCCTCCCCTTTCCAAGTGAAAACTAATTATATGTGTCTGTGCATAGCCTACTTCTTAATGTGGGGAAAAGATGGAACGAGCCCTTCCAGCTATCAGCCAGTTTCTGTTGAACTGGTGGCCTTTTGTTCATACCAGTCTGGACAGTGAGGTGACACAGCAGCCTGCAGCCTGATCTGGCACACTGATCCTTTCCTGGACTCTGTCTTTCACGTAGAAATCCCTGTTTTCTATATTCAGATCATCACAGCAACTTTGAAATTTAAAGGCTCTGCTGTACTTCAAGCCAAACAGTTATTGAAACATCATCACATAATCTGTCCCCTTCCAAGACAGGCTTATGCAAATATGCAGGTACCTAACTGTTCTTGATACAGCTAAAAGAAATTTAACCCTGATGATGTTCTGTCTCATAGGAAAAGATGTTTAGAGATGGGCTAAAAAACAAAGGTACAACTCTTTTCTTCTTTCTTGGTTTTCTTTTTCCTGTTCTTTTCTACTAATCCATAGAGGAACAACATAACATATCAAATCTGTTTACCCCCCAAACAGTCTGGGATGCTTGAATATCTTTGTTGTCATTTAGGAAAGGAACTGACAGACAAAATTGTGTTGGGAAGACACTAAAAATATGCACTGAAGAAACCACATAAACTCCCAGGTAGAAATTAGCTCTTTTTTTTTTTTGCCAGTGTAATTTATGTTGAGAAATGAACTAAGCTTCTTCCTCAAAGTCCCAGCTATAGATCAGATAGAAGCCTGAAGGACTGCTTGTATCCTGAGAGGTGGCACATTGATCTACAGCTCCAAGTATTGTGCCAAGAAAGGAAAATCAACAAGATCTTCACCTGATTTATGTAGGCCAGACATCTGTGACTTGCCTTTCAAAGGTGATGTCACAGAGGTGTAATTAAAACTTGATGATGAATAATCATGATTTGTGTCACCATATTGCAACCTTGTGTTAAGTGGTTATAAATGTGGTTTGTCCCTGCTTATGAAAATGGTTAGAAAGTGCTGGGCTTAAGGGGAGGAATTTTCCATGCAGCTATTATGCAGGAGGTCCCCAAATTTTGCTAAGGCTGGACCTCTGTCTCAGTTTAGAACTAGTCAAATGGCATATTAGTGAGAAAAAAATTGAGGTTATGATTAGTAGCACTGAGCAGCCCCTAAATTTGCTCTCTGCAGAGACAGCCATGCTTTGGTACCGGAGATGCTGACTTGACACTAGAGAGAGTGAGCTAAGACAGCAGTTTGTAACTCAGTCTTACTCTGCTCTCAACACACTAGTAGCACAGTATCACCTTTTCCTTCATCCTCATCTCACCCGTCAAAAGGAGAAACAAAGTATTGGGATAAGGGTTATGCTTCATTAGATATTTGAACACCTTGAGCAGAACACCAAAGCTGCGGCCTGAAGAATTTTCCAATGAATTGTATTATTTTTTACTGTTTCAGACAGACTTTTCAAGGCATGCAAAAACTACCTTTGAAGCAGACTATGGATTTTTTATTCCTTTTCTCCTCCGTCTGGATGCTGGTGGGAATTTTGAAGAAGCTGTTTATCATTTGGTTTTGAATTTTTCGTACGTTTTGTTTTCTGTTCTAAGACATTGATCTTGATTTCTAGCAGGCCTAACTTTCTCCATTTATATCGATAACAGTGATTTTTACTCTTTCATTTTGAGACAGAAAGACATAAAACACAGTATGTTGCTTACTTATAAAAAAAAGGTAGGGCAAGTGGCACCTGTGATTCTGCATGCAGAACACTCAACATAGTAGATACAGTTTGGGGCTCATTATCATAAGGAGCATGAGTTAGAACCAGTGATCAATTTTCTGAGTATCCCTAGACTTTCCATTAATTTTGATTTATCGATTTTTGTGAGCGGGAGCAGTGAGAAACTCGGACTTTGAGGAGGATCAGAAAGGCCTGAGGGTTATTGCCTTGTTTCATGCTGTGATTTATACGGTGAAAGTACTGTCTGCATTCTTCTTCTTGGTGTTATTTCTTCTCAGAATTATAGAACTTCATGAGTTAAAGACAAGTGCCCTCTGAGAATCTGTTCTGTCGTGTCTCTGACATTATTACGGGCTGAAGGTCTGATTGTTGGAAGTGCTGACTCCTTGCAGCTCCAGTGGAGTGAATGGAAGCTGAAGGTGCTCTGAAAAGCGTGCCTGAGGCATTTTATCCTTTTAAAGGGATTGAGTTAGTTCCTCATAAATATAGGTCTCTGCTTTGACTAATTCCGCCTTGACTGCACATCCTTTGAAGTAAATGGAGTTTACTTGATTAGAATGAAACATGCGCTCCAAAATTAACTCCCACCCTTGCCACGTAGCTGAAGAATTTATTAGATCTTAGTAAATCTGATGTTAAAATTAAGCTTCAAATTTGCTATTAAACTTCATAGTTTTGCTTTATAATTGGAATACTGCATGCTGGGAAAGATCAGAAACCATTTTTCTTTGAGAGTTTCACTGACTCTAAGCACAATTCATGTTCCTGTGGCAGAGCTGCTGATGCAGCAGAGGTATCTAAACACATTGAAAGGATGGTTGTGTTGCTAGAAGAGGTACCAGGACCAGTGTCTGCAGCTGGTGCAGGGAGACAGCCTGCCTGAGCCATTCCCATTCTCCTGTAAAGAGTCCTAATTCTAATTTCTCCAGTTCCACTGAGAGAAAGCGAATGTCAGATGATGATTCAGCCTCAGGAAGGGATGATTTATCCCAGTGCTCGATAATTCCACTGTTCTTGCAGAGAAGGAAGCTTGCTTAAGCAGTGGCTGTTTGATCCTGAAGTAAGGGAAGGTTATGCTGTTTAGGCATGCGAGTGACTATTGCAAAAGTTCAAGGGAGCACTTATGCAGATGTGAAAGCCAAAGCTCAGAGATTTGGGAACTAGGTATATGAAGAAAGGCTTAGTCAACTTCACTTTCTTTGTTAGTTTTTTTAGAACAGAAATAGGCAGCATACTGAGGTGGCCCTGCAAGTAATAGCATGGCTTAAAGATTCTTTTCAGTCCTTGGCTAAAGCCCTTTCTGTTCCCAGGTTGTTCAGATGTGCCCACAGGTCAGCATTGCTTCAGTCCTTGGTTTTTGAAAATCCATTCTTTGCTCAAGGAGACTCACAGCACTCTTGCTTTTCCTTTTTGGGATCAGTTCTATAGTATTCTTTAATTTTTTTCTTCCTTAATGATAGCCTTTGATTTTTTAAAAGGTGGTTTTGTTGGTTTTGGGGTTTTCTTTAATTATTTCTGTATAGCTAAGTGATAGAATATAGAAGATCCATTGCTTTTGTTACCAGTTATTTTCAAAGAGCAAATTTCATCAGCTGCATTCTTATCTCTCTGTCTAGATTTCTCTAGTTACCTCTGTGATATTTCCATGTACAATATGGTAGATCATCTGCTGTGTCAGAGCCTCACATTTCAGTGTGTACATTGATCTAATACTATTTTGTGAGTGATGAGGTCTGGTGTGGTTCTCAGCAGGTGAGATGTTACCTGCTGTTAGCAGTGGGGAAGGCTGTTTTGATGTGGAGACATGTGCTTTTTCCCTTTGTCTCTCTGTCCCAGACTGAGCAAGAAAACTTGGCTTGAACAAAAAGCATTGAGAGAACATTCAGGCAAACAGGTAGTTGCGTCCTCTTGTTCCTGCTGTTGGTCTCCTACAAACAGTCTCTATACTGTTTTGTTGTCTTGAAGACTGTAGAGTCTGGCTTTTCATTATAATGTTTTGACATCCTTTGCTCCAAGAACTGGGATTCCTCTCAATTACAGTGATTTCTAAATTTGGTGGCTGTTTTTATTTCGTGTTTATTTTTTGAAGCTCCTGCCTGTACATGTTTTATTCCACGCCCCGTTGTTTTTCTGTTTTTAGCCAGTGAGACCTGCAACGATTTCCATCCCATGTTCTTCACCCATGACAGATCGTTTGAGGAGTTCTTCTGTATCTGCATTCAGCTCTTGAACAAGACATGGAAGGAAATGAGGGCAACTTCAGAGGACTTTAACAAGGCAAGAAAAAGGGTGGGGTGGGAATAACTGGGCAGAATGGTGAAACAAGGCCATATATTCTTCCCTGGAGGCACAGGGATTTACTAATTCCCATTCTGCTGAAAATGCTGTGGAGTTTTATCTGTTCAGATTCTTTGCACATCAGAACGCCAGCATTTAGAAAGTGGTGGGTAGAGAATGGGAGGTGTAAGGGAGGTTCATAGACCTTTTTCAATCATGTTGTACTGCAGACTATGAGACTAAAATTCTGGCTTGAGGGGAAATTCTGCCTTTTTATGTTAGCGATATTATGCTGAAGTGCTGCAGCCTCCAAGGTTGTAAATAATGCAGAGAGAGTACTGCAGTGATAATTCTGTGCATCCCTTTCATTTCATGTGAGCACTACGGTGATAAAATATTCAAAAGTGGACACAATCATGACAGACTACTGTGCAGTTTAGCCTGCTAAAAACAAAAAAATAAACCCAAGCCAATCAAATTTAAATCTAACTGAAAAACTCCTCAATATTGCACCCTTTTTTGTGGTAAGAATTCTGGAAGTTTCAGACAATCTCCTGATGCTCAGAAGACCTATAAAGAACAAGTCTGTCTTAATGGTCCCTAGACATCCTATTTTAAGTGTCTAACTTAACATGAGGCTGAACAGTATCTCTGGCATTTTGTAAGAATGACAAACTTGTTCTTTTGTGGCCAGCTGGCCTCCTTTGTTAGGATCCTTTGACTGGAGCTTGTGCCTCTCCCTGGGAGATGTTGGTTATAGAACTGTTTTGGAATGAAAAGTGAGCCTGCTGCTCTGTGTCAGCATGTGCCATACAAGTGCTCTGAAGTCACCAGGCTCAAATGTTGTGTGAGAGCTAGTAAGAATGCTCATACCTAACTTCTAAATGGAATTGTCTATTACTGAAGTGGTCTCAATGTCCATTTTCTGCTGCAGAGTGAAGGTGAATTCTTAGGTCATGGTGAGGAATAACCTTTGTTGAGTTCTTTTAAGCAAGTTAGTTGGCAGCATTACCAGAGACCTAGCTAAAGAGAGGAAGTCCAAAATGCATACACTTGTAGCTAGATGATCTAGAGACTTGTTCTTGCATAGAATTTCTGACATGCTTCTCTTACCTAGTGATCCACGAGCACAGAAAGAGCAATAGCAAGATAATTCACTGAACAGTATAGAAATCTAAAATCAAGAGCTTAAAAAACAGCAACTTTTTTAAGACTTCATAATATGTGGTTATTTTAAATAAATAACAACTGCCTATTACTTACAGACCTTCTGTCTCAGTAGAAGAAGGATTTGTCTACATATTTTTCCACACTTGAGTTAAAATATTATTAATAGTCCTAGGGGATTCTGAAAAAAGAATGGCCATTTCTGGCAATGGCCCAAATCACCCTAAAAAGAAAATAATGAAATTTACTTTGCTGTGTTAGGCACTGCTGTGGAGGTTCATGGAAGATCAGGTCGTTTTATCTCTGATCTAACTAGTTTGCTATTTGTGTTTTCTGTTACTGAAAATCCTGCGACTTCACCTATCAGTTCTTTCAGGTTCAGCAAGATGAGCAGTAGGTCTTACTGCATGTGGCATTGAAGACACAGGCAATTCTTAACTCCGTGGGGCAGATATGAAACATTTACAGTTAGGCTGCTAGGTGGTGGCACTGTGGTGCATGATCCTGAACCCAGGATGTCTTCCTGCGGAAATCACTCTTGATCTTGTAACTGTTTCCGTAAAGGGGAAGAAATGCTAAACTCTTGTGTCTCTCATTTCTAACAGTTCTGTAATTATGCTCTGCTTATCTAAATCCTTTCGTATAGTCATAAGGAGATTTTCATGTACTTAACCACTTCAAATGACATGTGGTGGTGATGTGCATTACTCAGCTGATAAATGTCTGAAAGGATCTGTGAGGAAAGCAAACTATGTCATTGTGTGGACTTGTGAAGCACTTCTAGATTTGTGGGAGATGATATGTTATACAGTGGTACCCAAGGCTTACCCATGTGGTTGGTGGGTGAAAGCTTCCAGTGCTGATGGCTTTACGAAACAACACCATTTTTGATCCTTACCTGGCAAGAGGCTGTGGTGATCACAGCATGTTAGTATTCTATGTGCATCTTTCCTGTGTTCTAAGGTTCCCCATTTCTGTGCAGTCACTTTTGAAAACTTGGCAGACAAGTGTCATGTAGACCCAGGGAGCATTCAGCTTATACTTTCAGAAGTGAATGGGAAGAAAGCAGACCTCACAAGATGCAGCAGCTTAGTTGCTGTGGAAAAGAATAAAAAATCTTCTATCCTCTCTTTGTGTTACTATTTTTCGGTTTCAGTAACTTGATTGTCATGGTAATGTATGAAACACCACTTTGTTATGGTTTGCTACCCACCTGGCTGAAGGGATCAGTCGTTTTATTCCTTCCTCACCCAGAACCTCCAAAACAAGATTGGACACTCTCAGCATATTGGATTGTAACTCTTGAGACCTGGAGATTCTGCTGAAAAACTTGAACACTTGTTTTGATCTTTAATCATAATTGAAGAAAAGGAGCTTTTAGTTTAATTTTAAACTTTCGGTTAATCACAATAGCTGTACACTGAGGGTCTGTAGGAGGTCTGTGTGCACACAGATTTATTTCCTCCTCTTTTACATTGGGGAATGACAGGCACTAAAAGAAGCGAGGTGATTGAATATTTCCCCTCAGGTTTTAGTGCCTGTTCTCAAGGGGTTTTTAAGCCACATATTAAGACTTTCTTTTGATGACAAAATGGCATACTGTGCCATCATGGTTCTTCAATTCGTGTTCTGGAGATTTCATATAAGTTTGTTCATTTTTAAAATTTCAAAAATAATTAAACCAGTGCTTTGCTCGTAGTTGAAAGAATTTTATGGTGTTTTAGTGAAACATTTATGATCTCATGCTTTGTCAGTCCAATTCTTACTCATTAAAAGCGACACATTTTGTCAACTCTTGCATTAGAAAAACTCCTTTGATCTCTATGGTGATAGTATGATACTGTCAGACCCCAAACCCTTTTTATAGTCTCTATATATACTCATAGATGTCTGAATAGAATAATTCAGGCAGGCAGCTAAGCTTATATTATGCCTTTATAACATTTTAATGCATACATAATTCATGTCTGGTGAGTTTTCTGGAGAAATAAAGATGCAGTTGGATAGACAGACATGCAAGTGGCAAAAATTCCATTTGAAACCTTTTTGTTTTTATTTGAGCCTACAGATGATCAAAGGACACTTTAGAAGCTCTGTCCTCCACAGACATTTGTGAGCAGACAGCATGGTTGATGACTTTGAAAATATAATCTAGTCTTCAAGCTTTACATAATTCTACATGTTTTATTGCAGCAGAAGAAAGCAATGTGTATTGATTTTTGGTGTCATTGCTGACTGTAGGAAAGCTAGACCAAGTTATCTTACACTCCAGCATCTAGAAACCTTCATCCACTAGCCTGCTCATTTAAAGAGTTGCCCATGAATCAGTTTTCCCTCATGTAGGGACTACTTAGACTTCTTAATCGGACTCTGCTGCCACACATACTAAGATGAACTTAAGTTGGTTTGGGGTTTATTGGGTTTTTTTAACATGATGGTAGGTGGAATTCAAAGTTCCTGCTCCACTGTAAAATTCCTCCTATGAGACCAAATGAAAGCATAATCCCAAAGGAAAATATTTTGTTGATCCCCTCTAGTTTTACTTAAGTAAATGCACCAGTATTGCCCTAATGAGGATTTACATTGAGATGGCTGTATTGTGATCTTCTTGTAAAATACACATATTGTTTCTTGGGATACAAGGAGACCATAAGTAGGACATTATGTAGGGGACAAGATTATCCTCTTACCTTTGGTTTCCAGAGATTTCAGTCTGCTGCTTTTTGTAGGTTTGAAGTTCACATGATAATAGGAGGAAGGGTGAGCAAATGGATTATTTTAATTGCAGGGCCAGCCATAGCTTGTCTTATTACACCTGCAGAACAGTATGAACAATTTGCTAATTCTGTACCTAGTGTAGTGACATCTTAAAAAAGCACATTAAGAATAAAAATAGCTGCTTCAAGTCCCAGCGTGGAAGGAAAAAGATTAAATTATTTGATTCACCTAGTAAAGTGTTGGAGCTGCATTGTAGGCACAATGGGCACAATGCGGCTGCTTTAATTAGTATATGAGTATAGTTTTAGGTTTTGAGATGGCCAAAAATGACTACTCATGACAAGACACAGATTATCATTTCAACACAACTAAAGTTAAGTAGGAGATGCCAAAATTGAAAAACATTGAAAGTGCTGTGGTGTATGGCACTTGAAGTCAAAATCTACTGCATTCACTAAAACTACAGGTATAACGAATAGGAAAGTGGGACAAGGTTGGCTGACGATGCTACCAATGCATTTTTCTCATTACTGAAAGATCTAGTTAATTTATTTTGCCCTCTGGACATGTGTTTGAGATCATCATAATATAAAACATGAGCTTTTAAATGTTTTATGAAAATTTATTTTGTAATAAGAAAATATTCTCAAAAATCTCTGGTTTCAGCATTTTGGCAAAGCTGGCATTCATTTCACAGTGGCAGACCTGGGTATCCTGAGGAATTACTCTTGAGGTATCTGGCTGTTTCAGTGACACACCAAGCTGCAGCACTGGATCCTCCTCCAGCAGTGGGGCCTGCTCAGCAAGATGATAATATATGTCACTGACAGGTATACACATAACAAACTGCCTTGTGTGGTAATCAGAAGAGTAGACATTGTTCACAGCAGCAGCAGATGCAAACAATAAATGCCCTACGTGAGTCCTGTAATTAAATAGCAAAGCAAACACAGAGGCATTTGATAACCACAAAAGATGTTTATGGCTCATGCTCAGACCCTGTGAACATTTTTCCTTGCTCGCTGACAAGATAACAGAAAAGGTAACCAAGCATAACTTAAAAATGAAAAATACCATTTCCTTACTCGGTGACGGTTTGGAAACGCCGTGCCACA